TGATGATTTATACAATCTAAAATATGGTGTAGAGTTTGAACACAAAATTCTACAAAAGTTGTCCTACTTTTGGTGCGAGCAACTAAGGTTGATTTTCAATGTTATAGCGCTAGATTGTTTCATTGACCTGTTGTCCTAAATTTGACAACCTCTTAGGCGCTGCCCAGATCAAATGGAGTATACCTCAACGAGGATTTGATGTCAGTGCAGCTTAATTGCTGGTACAATGCCAGTAATGCGCTCGTTATTCTTTCGTTAATAATAATTACAAACAGAATTGCGTGAATTGTACAGATTAGGGTTTAAGCATTGTAACATTATGTATATTCTCGAAGGCTTCGTACGATAATTAGTAAAGATCTTAATTAGAAGACTTTGTAGTAGTGTAGTCAGATATTCATAAGGTAATGTCATTAAATGGTTAAATGTAACATCACTTTTTGTTGCACTGACGCAGGGAGACTCCCGGGAGTCTCCCTGAATCAGGACAGCCTCCCGCACTCCCGGTCCCGCAAGAATCTCTCGGAAATCAAACCATCTCCGCAAATTCATAATTTTGCATGTTCACTGTTTTATTGTCAATTTTCTCACGGACGTCAGTATCAGTATCACTATGTGCAGCAAAATAAAATGTGTTAAGAAAGCTCATTAACCTGATCAGTGGTCCAGGGAGGAGGAAAGCCGGCCCGGGCCCCCTAAATAATTATTTCAAAATTATTTTTTAAAAAGGGGTAGAAATGAAAATTATATTCAAATTTATGTCTGAGAGGGTCATTTCCGGCCATCTAGATGTGAAAGTCCTTCCCTTCCCCCACCATTCGACCCACCACCTCAGATCTCCCGGAAATAGCTTATTCTAACTTGGAACCAATGTGTATGGGACACACATCATGTAAGTTGGCGTCTTACTCACTCCCTTCCTCATCCTTTCTCAGCCTCATCATCATTTATTAAGCATTTTTATCAGTTTGGATAAGTTGCGATTTACGATCGATTGGTGGCTCGGGTATAAGCCCACACACATTTATATATTATAATAAGGCCTAAACTATAATATAATCATTGAAGCTTCATGAATTAATTCATTTAACAGCCAACCTTTTTAATTTCATTATTATTAGCATATTCCCCCGCGTCCTAATCACTTCTCATTTAGTGTTGTAATGAACATACATCCCTAATCAATCTAAGCACCAAATGCTATCTAATGGCAAGAGAGCTTTCGAGGGATAATAATAATAATAATAATAATAATTAAATATTAGTAATAAATAATAATATATATTTAGAAGGGAAAGATAAAAGAAGGGAAAGAAAGACGCAAGTGTCCTCTCCGCCAGACAGGCCAAGTTTCCTCTCTGCCACGAATTGTCGGACCAACAAATGAGGGAAAATGTACGGTACGTTAACAAACTTCTTTGGGCATTATACGTACTAAAATATCTTAAAACTGATTAAAATAACCCAGTTTATAAGTGCGAGGGCGTTATCCCCTGCCCGTCTGCTGGACGTACTCCACCAGGGCTCCGCTACAGACAACAGTCCTTTAGAAATTGAAAATTGCATCCTGTTCGATTACCTAGGCAACCCCTCTTTCCGTCGTGCAATTTATGGCGCCACCTGCCCAAAATATTACCAGCTGATCTCGATCCAAATCCAAATTTTCTATCTCTTTATTACTCTTTTTTTTGTCGATCTGATGGGAATAGTACTGCTACTCCATTTTAAGATAAAATAATTCCATTAAATTTTCTAAGACATACCGTACAATACACGTGAGTTAAGCTTTTTATATGTAATCAATATTTTGTTCGTTGCACAATCAAACACTACTCAAGACATAAGAATTATTTCAACGTTGACGTCCCACTGGGCAGTATTACTCATTATTATTATGAAAGATTGCTTTTAATTGCTGTTGAATATTGGCAGAAGACAATTTTTATCTACAAACGCATTAATTATAGTACTTTAGCACTCAAAATGGTTTGTTCTTTGGTTATTATGCTGATTCATCCATCAACCGATTTTTTTAACTTGTGAATTTATTTATGGTGTGGGGATAACAATTTTCTTGACTACTTTTTTATACGTCATCTGTTAAAATTAAGTGTCACGTTTCGAGATTAAATGTATGGTTTTATTGGCCAATCGGAGTGATATTTGTAATGGTGTTTGAAATTATTACCTCCGAGGAGGTTACTGTATAATGCATTTATTGTGTCTCTGTCTTTCTGTCTGTTATGAAGATTACGCAAAAACTAATGAACAGATCATTATAAAATTTAATGGAATAGTACATAATAATCGAAGAAAAAGAATAGATTAAAGGACAAAGTCAGTTTCAGAAAATTTTTTCTTTAGAGCATAATAGAAAATAATGAGGCGGAGGTATGCACTATATTATGGAGTGACTGCTCTAGTTTTTGAAGTAATGATAAAGATGGTATAGCCGCATTATAAGTTTCTCAAATAATTGTCAGGATACGGTAATTCCAAACTAGTTTCAGTCGATATATTAACATGTTAAAGATTATATCTTCATACGTTATTTATTTATTTGTTATGTTTTGGGGTCAAGGAAGGAGCGTTAATGTGTGGACTCGATAAGAAGAAGACAGCAAGCGATGAAGAACCGTTATAACATATATCATTAAGGTGCCACCAGTACCTACTTAATAACCCGTTGTTTTAGCATACTGAAGTACTGGGAAGCTACCAAGTTCGCCAGTAACGGAATTATTCGTTGCCATATTGTTTATTCCCTGTTACCATTTTCAAACTTTTAAGTTAATTTATCACATACCCCTGTAGCTGATGGAATTTATCCTTACTAATTTATTTTGATAACATGTATATCTAAATATAGATCTAAAAAAACAATTAAGGTCTATATTTTAACATTTCCATAGCATTACTAAAGGATCCAGAAAGTACGAACATATTCTTTAAATAACAAACAAGATATATATTATGAATTATTGATTATACTGTAATATATGGAAAACCATGCTACAATGGTTCATCAGATGCAAATACCGTATTCCATCCCATCATCAATTACTTTTGTATTTATTATTTTGATATGTTTTACAGATACGGTGGATGGTGTGGTCGGCATCCGCCAAAACAATCACAGATTTCAAATGAGCTATGGCATGTATTAGCAAGGTATAGAATACTTATTATAAAGTATAATAGTTTGGCTTCAAATTCGAAGATTAATTCAGTAGGGTAATTGTTGTACAGTTATTTTAAAGAGGTTCCAAGCAACAATGAAGCACAGACAGGTTGATACAAGTATAATGAATAATATTCCAATTAATATCCAGTTTAAAGTTGGCGATTCAATAAAAAAACAATCGATTTGTGTTGATCTCATAAATGATTCCCAATAAAAAAAACACTTGATATTAAACTGGATTGGAATTTTTTGTGGTGAAATGCTCTAAGGATAACCACTCACGAAGTCCAAATACATGAAATTAAGTACTATTGAAAAATGAATTAGTATTCAACTCAACTTAATAGAGACTACATTGTTATTCTTGTGTTTTTTTTTTCTTTTCAGGTCAACAGAGGCATCTTGTCGCAATGAACTTTTGCAAGTCTACTGTGCATATAATCTGAATAAAACTGGTGGATGTGTACCACCTATGTATCTACGGAAGCCAAAGGTATACGGCGCCAATATTAAACTTAAATAATGTTAGTGCCATTATTAATACTCTCCGGTCGGGTTTTTTTTTTTAAATTGTTTCTTTAGTATTGTATTTTATGATTCTGAATAAAGATAAATTCAATAAATCAATCGAACTGAACTACATTCAGCAGAGGAAGTTCTGGTATCGTTTTGAATTCTTAATTCATTCATTCGTAAATTTATTTCAGAATTTAATATCCATAGTGTAAAGCAAATAGACAATAATAAATATAAATTGACTAAACTCTACTGAGAAAATTACTTACACATGGTTCCATGCTGATACATTCTTGAAGAAAGCGCGTACCACTTTGAAGCTAAATCAAACTGAAGTCAAGACGTTTTGTTAAAGCTAAAAATACACATTCTGAAATATTCATTAAATGACTTGTTTATGACGAACATCATATTGGCACTGTTTTTTATGGGCTACCATACCAGTAATCGTAAGACATTATTTTAACAAAGCTTTAATGATCTAATAGTGCCGTTATGTAATCTGTACCAAGATTACTAGATTTATGGTAGGTGAATCACATTGGGAGTAGGAGTTTATTTTCCTTTATAGCCTGCCATCTCTATCTAAGAGTAAAACAGAATAAACAAATAAGAGTGCAACATTACATCGCTTATTATTTGTAAATAATTTCTTACTTCTCCTATAGAGTGGTTCAAAACTTCGGCCCGGAATATTGCCATTTAACTTCAAAGCTTTGCCAACTATTGGCCATCGGCCTGACTTGGAAGATTATAAAGCAGGTACGTTTACTAACCGAGTTTCTTTTCATGTATAAAACAAGGCCGCTTTGCATGATACAGACAACTCCGCAGCGATATTGATTGTATTATGTTACAAACTTAGGTATATGTGCAATAAAATATTATTCAAATATATATAAAGGTCATAATTTATATAATTATACCATTACTACAAGATTGATTGAAGCATATCTCTTTATTTTACCATGATATATAATATTCAAGTTGTATGTATGCCACAATATATTTGTAAATAAGTATTTCGGTGATAGATATCTATCAAGTTTATATTTGGGCCTAGAAATTATCGAGATTATGAATACACTATATGTGGTGTATGTTATCTTTTTTCTAGTAAGAAAGAATCCTAATGCTGCCGTCATTCCAGTTAAGTTTGCGTTTCTCATCATCGCCCATACATGCGAAGACTGTGTGGTAAGCAATACGTTTATTTAATTACTTCTATTCAATTCATGTTCAGACATCCACAGATGACATTAATAACAAAATTGGAATTAGCAAAAAATGTCAGTTTAAAGCAGTTAATTCCATCTTAAATTTATCTTCGACTTTATCTTACCACATTAACTAAAGATTGGTAATTCCATTTGGTTCCAAACTTGGCAGAACATAAGGTAGTAATAAGACAGCCTATTGTTTTGGAACGTGTGTGAATATGCTAATTAATCATTTACATAATTATCATGATAACTAAAGTTTGGTAAGTTTTATTGATTTCAAACTTGGCAGATTGCAAGATGGTAATAGTGATGGTAGAGCATATCGTTGTTTGTACGTGTGTGAATATGCTTATTACTCATTTGCATAATTAATATTTCATTGATTAAGAAACTTACGCTATGCTTTTACTGCGCAGCGTAAAAGGAATATTTCTAGTTTAATTTATATTTGTATTCTCTTTTTAAATCGAAATACAGTTGCATAACTTCTCGATAAGCTTCAGTTTTTAGGCATTCCATCAGGCCTGGGATTTAGAATTTTCAATTTTCCCTTAGCATGTTTAGTGCCACCATTGTGGCATCATCTTCTTTCTAAGGTCTAACTTTGAATTCCTGACTATGAATGGAACTGTGTAAAACAAGCTCAATTGTAGAGTGTTGTTCTTACTGACGACAACTCTTGTAGGCCTGCGTCATACTATGCTGTCTTAAGCTTTGTCCACGTTATCAAATTTTATGTGACAAATACAAATGTAATAGACCCATATTTGTATTTAATTATGCCCATATATTATGGGCACATCACACAAATTTCTATTATTGCCATATCAATAATGGTAAATGAAATTGTATGTATTTTGTTTGGTTTTCAGCTGCAATTAATCGATCTTGTTTACAGACCATACTTTTTTTACGTGGTCCACGTCGACTTTCGACAAGACCAAGTCAGAAATGTAAGTTTTATATAAATAATTAAATAAGGTTGCTGCATAGGCAGAGTCAAATAAATAAGAAAATGTATCTGTCTTAGAATAAAATAGTTATTGAACAAGTACTTTCGACCAGTCATCATCAGGTTCATGTATCTGTGTTAGAATAAAATATTTATTGTACAAGGACTTTCGAACATAGGTCATCATCAGGTACTGATATATATAAACATAGAATATATAAACATAGAATGGTAAAAAGTTCGACTCTCCTGATGTTTACATGCACCCAATGAAACGAAAAACGTATACTACCACGAGTTAGCGGGTGCCCTATCTAATAAATTGACAATTCAACAAGTAATTAAACATTTTAATTTATTAATTGTTTATTTTTACCCACTCGTACACAATATAAGGACATTAATAATAAAAATCTTAAAATTAGCGAAAGCTGGGTTGTTTTAATCAGTGTTAAGCAATTCAATTTTCTTAAGATTAAATGTGAGAGGTTTTTTCCCAATTCTATGGCATAGTATATCTTTAATACAGCTTAATCACATACCGTACTCGCGCGAATAAGCGCCCGGGCGCTTAAAATATTTTTTTGCACTTTCTGAGGGGCGCTTTTTCAAACGGGGCGCTTATTTAAACGGGGCGCTTATGAAAACAGTGGAAATTGAGGGGGCGCTTATGGAAATAAATGAAAATCGAGGTGTTCTTATGGGAAATTATTAAATTCAAGAGGCACTTTTTGAATGAAAAAAGATTAGGCCTATATAAGGACATTACGAATAGTGGTTAGGCGGAAAAGATAATCGTCCAGAGAACATGTCTCATGACAAGAATGCTGTGAATATTTACATACAGCAGAATGACAGATGCAATTATTAGTGGTGGGTAGTGGTTAGGTTGGTAATTCGGCCGATTGAGATTAGCAGGATGGCAGGATCATTGTTTTTTTTTCTTGAAAACTCAGATGAGAATGTGCTAAAGGTCAGAAAAAGAAAAAGAGGAGTAGGACTATAGGCATAGACAAATATGTAAAAAGAGTACAGTTGGAAATATACTGTCTGTCCAGGGATCGGAGCGCTCATCTTTCCAAGAGAAATATCCTTATTTTGATATTGACCTAAGAAGAATGTTATTTCACTCTGCAGCTCAAATCATGCCAACAAGCACAGTCCCAGGATTGATTGGATTTATTGACTTGCTAAAAAGAAAATCTTATGATATTATTAGAAGGTGCGCTTATTCAAACGGGGCGCTTAAGAAAATCTTCACGTTAGGAGGGGCGGTTATTCGATAGATGCGCTTATTTAAACGGGGCGCTTATTCGCGCGAGTTATACGGTATGTTTTATTCAATGAACCATGATTTCCATAAAATTTCTACATGCCTTCGCCGACAGGTCTCGATTGTTATGTTAGCCTACATACATCCCTACACATACGTACATACTACATACATACTTCATACTTGTGTCATGTATGCTATTTCATATAATTTTCATTTTAATAAATAAACCTACAGCATAACTTGGGCTACTGCATAAGATTGTGTACAGTATGCAATAACTAGAATCGTTAACCTTCCTTCATCTTTAAACATTTTTATTAGTACATATAGACTCATGGATACTCATTTATTTGCAGGAATTGAAAAGAAAAATAGCTTTAATTCCAGGTTACACAAACGTTCGGGTGCTTCCAAAAGAACGATCTTTTACGGCCACTTGGGGGTCGTATAATATTTTAAGAGCAGAGTTAGAGGTAAGTTTAGGTAATCCTTGTTGAGTTAAATAGGCCTACCATGTAATTGGGTACTATATAATGCAAAAGTAAACTAGTTACAAATATTACCCAAGCAATTGTTCTAACAGTAGTAGAATAAATATCATCTTGACATGATTTTGAAGTTTTATAAGGTACCAACAAATGTTGTTCCCATTCGTTTTTGTCTCGGTTTTATTTAATAATTATCTGTCTCTTCATCGGTCCATTGTCGCTTTGCGCCCTCTATTAATCAACACTGCTGCGATACTTCAGATTATTGTTATGCATTTCCAGTGCTATATAATTCACAATGAGATAATTAATGTTGGTGTATCGCTACTTAACGTAGTCTAATCCTATTCTTCCCTAAAAACCTATATTTATGACTGTGCTTTTTTCAGGGAATTGAAGAGCTAGCAAGGATGGGCGTTTGGGATTTCGTGATCAATCTCAGTGGTTCTGACTTGCCCTTTACCGATGTTGACGATTTGGCGGCGATGTATGCGTCATACCGAAGTGAGATTCTCTAAAATTAAGCCAGGCACACACTGCGTCGGCCGGCGGTCGTAGGACGACGAATTTCTCTCCGCCAATCTGTGCAAGCGCTTGACGATGCGACGCCGTCTGCTTGGTGGGGTAGTCTGAGCGTATGGTCAAAAACGATCCGTTGCGTGCCATGCGTTTCGTCACTTTGCGTTCTCAATGGAATTACGTCGGCTGACGACGGTCAGCGCAGTGTGCAGTCACTAATTTTATGATTTCCATTATACAGAGGTTGATGCACTACCGAAGTTATGTGGTTTATAAAATCAAAGAGGAAATATCACGCTCTGTATATTCAGGGGTATTGCCTGGTAAAATGGTGTTTTCACTAATTTTAATTAGTTTAAATTGGCTGGCCCGTTTAGAAACATATGTACTATTCGTTTCTATTTTTGTCATGGACCGCTAATTTAAGAGTCATTTCCATTAAATTGCAACACTCCCGCTAAGAGTGTTTACATTGCGTTACACTGCTTAGCTTTTTCTGAAACAATCGGGAAAAGCTCCCCAGTTTAACCGACCAACAGTATAAACTTGGTTTCAATACGGATCGCTACACGCTACAATGCAAATACACAGTACTTTAAAAAGAGTAAATACGTTCGGACAAGCAATTTTTCCATATCTATGCATGGCCATTGTTTACTTGACAAGCAAAATCAAGAAGCCGACCTGCATATATAATATTTCGTGGGTTAGTACTAGTCAAGCCTCGCTAAGGTTCCACGCTTCATATGTATATGCCTAGACCTTATATAACCTTAACGATGAATCTACTTTCTTTCTTGAATGAAGCTCGGAATTTTATAAATGCAAGGGAGACATGGAAAGAACGTTCTCCCTCAAAGAAGGATATTTCCGTTTGGCATGCATGTGGTGATCATGTATACAACGTTACGTCACGTGGCCCACCACCCACCTGGAGCACCCAGTTGAGTGCATCGCAATGGTTTATTCTAGACAGGTTAGCACTCACAAACGTTAATTTCATTTCTGTGTTGATAGATTATGGTATTTATGAAATTTAATAGTCATAATGATGTGACAATGGACTTTAACTTTCGTTAGGCCATTTTCATACATAAATGGCACTAATTTTATGATTATACTCAGAAAACTAATAAACTGATTGCTTATAACAACAGCAATAATAATAATAGTATTAATAATAATAAAAATATAAAGCCAATAATAATAATAATAATAATAATAATAATATCGATAACGATAATGAGGATAATGATTATGAGAATAATGATTACGAGAATGATGATGAGGACGATGATGATGACGATTTTCATGAAGATGACGGTGACAATGGCGTCACGACTATCCTGCTAATAACAATGATTATAATAATGTTAATTAATACTATGGGTTACTAATAATAACAATATTAATAGTAGCAAAGGCAACAATGTAATTTCTTTACTAACAGGGGGTTCGCCACAACTGTTATAGACCAAAATCATCGATCACGTCGTTTGAATAAAATTCAGTTCTTTCAGCAAACCTGCATCGTTCCCGATGAGTCTTATTTGTCATCTATGCTGTTTAACTCTGCTTTTCGGTAAGTAGGCCTATGGACTCATCGTATTATTAGACGATGGAAACATCGTATTATTAGACAATATTATTAGAGCCGTGGAGATTGTTACTTAACCCTGTTTCACCAAAGGAAACAGTATGTTATTGTACAGAATACAAAATACAAGATTCACGTGGAATTCAGCTTCCAATGCTTTCATAAAAACAAAACAAAAACATAAACTATTAAAAGAACATAAACTGAACTAAAAAATCCACAATATAAAACAAGGTACAGGCTACAAATATTGAGAAAACAAGCAAATAACAAGGTAAGTTAAGGCATATGTACAGAAGTTATAGGAATACAGGGGCGAATCCAGTAGCCCCCCCCCCCGTTTTGACACTAAATTTCAATGCAAATCAATGTTATGTGCTACTCACTTACCTATTCTGGAGCTGTTGTGCGCCACCCCCCGTTTGAAAAATTCTGGATTCGCCCTTGGAATAAGTATATAAATATTATATTAAATTATCTCTTGAAAGCTTAATTAGGCCTATTATATACATAGATTTGTTAATGAAAAAGTGTTTCTTAATTTATTATAATTGCACTTTAATGGTACAAAGCCTGTCTGATTGTTGGAGTATGTGGTGAGACAAATCCTTAACAATCTTATTTAATTTACTACATATTTGCTTTGTAATTCACAAACAAATATGTATTTTGTAAATTGTATATGATATTAAGAATTTATTTCATTTTTCTGATGCCTTTTTTTCTATTCTTCTTCACCAGAAATACGTACGTTTTCGATCATTCCCGCTTATATCGATTTCCAAAATCACCTTTTGACAAAAGGGGCCTCTGCAAGCACTCTTCGGATATTGATTACTGTGGCCAGGTAGACTCAAGTAATTTGCTTAACTGTGTCACATGACAGCAGAAAAGATGTTCATTTGTTAAACTACATATCTATATAATTTGTTAAATTTTGTTGATATGACTGATGTCGAATATACTTGGTTGAATAATATTCAGAACTAGAATTTCGATTAGTTAATTTATAGATTTTGGAATCGGTAGCTGCCCCCGATATTATTAAACCCGTTTCAACTTCCTTGATTGTCGGGAACGAATTGTTCTATACGCTGCACTCTATATTGTCTACAGCTTTCGGTGGCAACACTATTGGTCGGTCGAATCGGGGAACATCGCATTAATTTGTGTCGGAGATTTCGAAGTGTGACGATTGTAGTGAAAACGCTGTTAGCGACAATGTTACAATTTTATGAAAACTAGTCTTAACGTTTCAATTATACAATCAGTGCGAATACATTTTGCGAGTAGGCCTCATACGGCCTAGCGGAAGCAATCTTTGGCTAGAGATATTTTAGAAATTTTCTATGCCCGGAATGGTAATTTTAGTAGGTGTGGTCACCATTATCAATTGATTTCATAAAATCGCTACCCAGAGTCGCCGAAATCTGCAGGCGATAGCGTGTAGCAAACTTATGGAATCAAGAATGTGATGTAAATCGTATCAGTCGCCATGGCAACTCCTGTATCTTTCTTTTGGAAATTGAATGAATGTTGTAAAATAATTAGGATTTATTACAAAAATATTATACAAAAATAATAAATAATTAGGATTGTTTTTCATCTTAGATTTTAATTGTTAAAAAAAGGAATTTTTAGTTTGTTGGACTCTGGAATTACACATTAACTTTTGTGTTTGTATTACATTGCACTTGATTATTATCAAAAGCAATAGTTACAATTATTAATACATTTTGTTCACCCTGATATTCTCATTGAATTACGTCAAAATTTTCAGAATTAATTGATCATATTTTTACAAGTTTACATTTTGTTAATCAAACAACTCATCAGTACAGTACTTTTACAATTTTTCAGAGTCCCATAAATATTGCTCAGAGTAATATAAAACTGTTTAAGTACTATTCCCGGATTTATAATTTCGGGCGCAAACATCCGTACAACATTAGTCATCCGACTCGTAAGGCAGCCATTAACACAGTCAGAGGCATGGATATGTATCATATAGTTGTGGAGAAGAAATCAGTTACTAAAGTTTTCATTAGGTAAGGCTTCAGGTTACTGCCGTGTATAT